CTTTTTTACATTACACTGGAAAAATATACATATTTTTATCTATCTTATAATCAATGTCATATCCACACATTTGAAAGGCTAATGAAATTTTATATTGAAGACGCGTAAGACCAAAAGTCCTAAGTTTAAGGTTGTAAGTTCACATTGTTGACTAGTACCACATTGAGAATGAACGACCAAGCAAACCATAGTTGCAAAATACGCTATGTTGAGACCAATTTATGACACTTATTCATTCGGTCACCGTAATATTTTGTAGAATCCCCGATCACAAACACTTACTTACTTACTAACTTACTTACGCCTGTATCCCCCAATGGAGCATAGGCCGCTCACCAGTTTTCTCCAACCAACTCTGTCCTGGGCTTCCTTATCCCCATTCTGTCCAATGTTCGTTCATTCCTCTCATATCTTTCTCTATTTCTCGGCGTAGTGTGTTCCTTGGCCTTCCTCTTTTCCTTTCGCCTTGAGGGTTCCATGTGAGGGCTGGTCTCGTGACGCAGTTGGGTGCTTTTCGTAGTGTATGTCCTATCCACTTCCACCGCTTCTTCCTGATTTCCTCCTCCACTAGAATCTGACTTGTTCTCTCCCACAGTTCGTTGTTGCTGATGGTGTCTGGCCAACGAATACGAAGTATTTTGCGTAGACAGCTGTTCATAAACACTTGTATTTTCTGAATGATGGCTTTGGTAGTTCTCCAAGTTTCCGCTCCATACAGTAGAACTGTCTTCACATTTGTATTGAAAATCCTGATTTTGGTTTTGGTTGAAAGTTGTTTGGATTTCCAGATGTTTTTCAACTGTAGAAATGCAGCCCTTTCTTTGCCAATCCGTGCCCTCACATCTGCATCCGATCCACCTTTGTTGTCGATGATGCTGCCCAGATATAAAAAGGTGTTAACGTCCTCCAAGGCTTCCCCATCAAGAGTGATTTGATTGGTGCATGTTGTGTTGCATCGGAGAATTTTGCTTTTACCTTTATGTATGTTGAGACCTACTGCTGCAGAGGCTGCTGCTTCACTGATCGTCTTCTCTTGCATTTGTTGTTGAGTGTGCGATAGAAGAGCCAAGTCATCTGCGAAGTCCAGATCGTCCAGCTGCGTCCTAACTGTCCAGTTGATACCGTGCTTCCCTCCAGCTGTTGACGTCTTCATAATCCAGTCGATGACCAGGAGAAAGAAAAAGGGTGAGAGCAAGCAACCTTGCCTCACACCGGTCTTCACCTCAAAAGAGTCTGTCAGCTGACCTCCGTGCACAATTTTGCAGTTGAATCCATCCGTATGATGTCATCTATTTTCTCAGGCACACCGTAGTGTCGAAGAAGCCTCCAAAGTGTTTTCCTATCCACGCAATCAAATGCTTTCTCGTAGTCGACGAAGTTGATGTAGAGTGGTGAGTTCCATTCAATTGATTGTTCCACAATGATCCGTAATGTAGCAATTTGGTCAGTACATGATCGATCCTTACGAAATCCGGCCTGTTGATCTCGAAGTTGGGCGTCTACGAAGTCCTTCATTCTGTTTAACAATACCCTGTTGAACACTTTGCCTGGTATTGAAAGAAGAGTGATGCCTCTGTAGTTCTCACACTTGCTGAGATCGCCTTTCTTTGGTATTTTGATGAGGTATCCTTCTTTCCAATCTGATGGTACTTGTTCCTCATCCTAAATCTTCTTAAAGAGAATGTGAAATATTTTCGCAGTTGCTTCCACATCTGCTTTCATTGCCTCTGCTGGAATGTTGTCTGGTCCTGCTGCTTTGCCGTTCTTGATTTGTCTGATGGCTATACTGATCTGTTCAATCGTAGGTGCGCCAATATTAATTGGGAGGTCCTTGGATGCTGCTTCGATGTTGGGTGGGTTCAGTGGAACGGCCAGACCAAAACATGGCATAAATCCATGAAGTCACTGACAAGTAGACTGAGTCATGCTGGTAGATGTAGACTACCTGGTTAGGGTCCGCGAGACGAAAGTCGTGAATGGTTAGAGACCTTGAACGACATGGCTCAAAATCGTTTGCAGTGGCGCAGGTGCATCCACTCTTTGAGCTCTCTCAAATCCTAATCTTCTGGATTAGCCAGCACCTCTACCTTTGTCTTTCTAACCTTTTCTCACTGAATTATATTTTTTGAATAATATCTTCAAACCCTAGTCTTCTTTATTAGCATTAATACCTCTACTATCTTTATCACTATGGGATTTGATTTGACATTTGCATCTCTGTGCTAATAATGTGGTATGGCAACATGAACTTATGTACATACGTACGAAGTTCTACGTTGCAACTGACTGACTCAGTGGAGCTGGTCGATTCAATAGTTCCTTAAAGTGCTCCACCCACCTATTTCGCTGTTTGTCAGTGTTGCTGATTATTTTCCCATCCTTGCTTTTCACTGGTCGTTCTGGTTTACGATAGTTCCCGGCCAGCTTCTTTGCTGTTTCGTACAATTGTCTCATGTTTCCTTCTCTTGCAGCCTTTTCCGCCGTCATTGCTAGAAAATCCACATATTTTCGTTTGTCAGCTCTGATGCTCTTCTTCACTTCTCTGTTTGCTTCTGTATACTGGGCTTGCGCCTTAACTTTCTCTGCTCTTGTTCGGCTGACATTCACTGCTGCCTTCCTGTTCGTCCTTTCTTGAATTTTTTCAAGAGTACCAACAGAGATCCATTCCTTGTGATGGTGCTTCTTGCAACCAAGGACCTCTTGACATGTTGAAGTGATTGCCTCCCTAATCCCTTTCCAGTTGTACTCCAATGTTGCTTCCTGTCCATTGAGTAGATCCTGAAAGGCCTGGAACCTATTGGTGAGGGCTATCTTGAATTCGCTGAGTTTTACGGTATCCCGAACAAAGGCTGTATTAAACTTCTGTGATGTTGTCTGCCCCGTTGTCCAGTGCTTCTTTAGCTTCAGTCTCATTTTGGCGATCAGCAAGTGGTGATCTGAAGCTATATCAGCTCCCCTCTTGGTTCTCACATCCTCCATGGTCCTTCTGAACTTTTTGTTGATACAGATATGGTCAATTTGGTTTTGAGTAGTGTGGTCCGGTGAAATCCATGTGGCTTTGTGAATGCGTTTGTGCGGGATTATTGTGCCACCGATGACCAGTTTGTTGAAGGCACATAGGTTTGCAAATCTCTCACCGTTTTCGTTCCTTTCTCCCAGTCCATGTCGTCCCATGATGTCTTCATATCCAGTGTTGTCCATGCTAACCTTGGCATTCAGGTCTCCCATAAGAATCGTCAAATCCTTTGGTGAACATTTATCTACGATTGACTGCAGCCTTTCGTAGAATTGATCTTTAACGTCGTCGTTGTAGTCGTTGATGGGTGCATAAAATTGGATGACGTTCATTGTAATGTCCTCTTTCTTTGTTTTGAAGGATGCTTTAATGATCCTGGGTCCATGAGATTCCCATCCTATCAGTGCCTTTTGTGCATGTTTGGACAGCATCAGTGCAACTCCTTGTGTATGTGAAGCGTTTTCCTCTTCATGACCAGAGTATAACAGCAGTTCCCCTGAAGCTAGTCTCAGTTGTCCTACTTGTGTCCAATGCGTTTCACTGATTCGATGCACCTCGAGGTTGTATCGTTTCATTTCTGCCGCAACTTGAGATAGTCTTCCAGTCTCCCACAATGTACGAACGTTCCATGTTATTTGGTATACGGTTCCATTTGTTATGACGAACTGACACGAAATCAATCACATTGTCTCTATTATACTCTGAAGTCTGAAAATTCCTTCCCTGCATTATTTAGTTTTTTTCCCCCAACTCATACCGTTCACGTGTAGTTCATTGTCCTTCCCTTTTTTACTGATTTTTCTAGTATGGTATTATTGTGAGTTTCGTAAAATATATTCATTGCAATTCTGTATAATATTCCACTTTAGTAAATTTGCCTATTTATGACTCTAAAACTATTAAAGAAGCTTATGTAATGATAATTTTTTGAATGAGAGGTCGAGCTTTTTTCTTGTCTTCAATTACAAGGGAGTAAGCAGTTATTGCAGTAAATAGTTTTTATCTAACATCAATACGCTTGTCGTATTCATGATGGTTAAATTAATGTTGCTGAACTAGTTAAGTCTCGAAGCCAGAACAACTATCGACAGACACTAGTCGAGTGTGTTGATCACTTCACTTATCTGGAGAGTCTCATCAGTGCTGATAGCCTGGTGACTAACGAAATCTCAGCACGGATACAGAAAGCTCGATTTGCTTTTGCCAATTTTCGCCGTTTATGGCGTAGGCGAGATATCCGTTCACTAACCAAAGGACGAGTGTACTGCACAGCAGTTCGCTCCGTTCTCCTATATGGATGCGAAACATGGCCGTTAAGAGTAAAAGACTTTCGTAGGTTGCTAGTATTCGATCGTAGATGTCTTAGAAGCATTGCTTGTACATGCTCGTATAAGCAATGCTGTTGTAAGGAAACGGGTGTTAGGTTAGGATGGCAGATCAACAGATGAAGTATTGAAAATTCATCAGTTGAGGTGGTTGCAACATGTTTTGCGTACGCCTAAACACCGATTGCCTCGTCGAGCTATGTTTTGCGATATAGGGATAGGTTGGAAAGCTAGGAGCTGCCAAACAAAACATGGCAGAAATCCATGAAATCACTGACAAGAGTACTGAGCCATGTTGGTAGGTGTCGACTACCTGATTCGGTCCCGCCAGACAGTAGTAATCGATGACTAGCGACCTCGAACAACATGGCTCAATTTCGTTCGCAATAGTGCAGGTGCATCCACTCTTTGTTTCCTCGCAAATTCTAATTCTCTAAATTCTTGAATAATATCTTCGACCCCTAATCTTTCAGATTACTGCTAACATATGCACTACCTCTCCTACTACTTTTATTACCTCTACTACTATGAGATTTGAATTGACAATTGTATCTCCGTATGTGCTAATGTGGTATGCTAACTTGAGCACTGATGTACGTACCTGTACGAAGTTCTACTTTGCTGGTAACTGATAAAGAATATCTGTCGTCTGTTACTTTATGCCTGTAAGTTATTAATTTTTTCATTTGGTCGCACTATTCTAATAAAATTTCTCTTTTTTTTGTTCAATTTTCCTTGTTGAAAAAAAATATTGGACAGCATTAGACAATTATCATGCATTGCTTCATTTCTTGAAAAAGTTCCCTGAATATGAAGGACGTCGTCTATTTATTGCTGGTGAAAGTTATGGTGGTGTTTATGTGCCAACGTTGAGTTTACTTCTTTTGAATTCGTCTAAATTCGACTTTAAGGTAATGTTGAATACTTTCCTCTTTTTTTAAAAGCACAATTTGGTAATGATAAGTTTTCAGTAAATAGACAAACCGTTTTTTTTGGGGTGGGGGGATTACGAACCGACTGGAGTTCGGGAACCACTAAGAGCCTGAAAGCACTGAATGACCATTTCATTCTAACATACAGTTCTTTTGTAATGTACATCCGTGACCCTGCAACCCATAATCTTTAGTCTGATGAATGAACATTCAACCCTCTTAGACCATCAATGTTATATTATTTTAAGTATAGTCAGTCAGTCACAATGTGGAAATTCGTAACTGAGTACATAAGTTCAGGTTGCCATAACGCATTAGTACAGATACGCAACTGTCGGTTCAAATCCAATAGCGGTAGATATTGTAGAAGCAATAGGAGTAATGGAGAAGATTCAGGATCGAAGATATGAATCGAGAAGTATAATTCAGTGAGATAACTTTAGAAAGCGAAAGATAGAGATGATGAGGAATTCAGAAGGTTAGAATTAGAGAGAACACCAAGAGTGGATGCATCTACGCTCCTGCAAACGTTTTTGAGCTACGATAGTACTTGACTATGTTACACTGATTTACACGTACTAGTTAATAACCGTGTCTTTCATTATTACTTAGTCAAATTAGCTAATGTCAGGTCAGTTAAAACATAGAACTGCGTACGTACGTACATCGGTGTTCAAGTGACCATACTATGTTAGCATACATAGATGCAGTTGTCAGTTCGAATCCCATAGTAGTAAAGGCAGTAGAAGTATTAGCAGTTATCGGAGAGATTAGGTTTTGCAGTTTTGGTGAAATAAACTTAAAAGGAAGAAGATAAAAGTGATGAGGAACTCTGAATGTTAGGATTTGAGAGAACACAAAGAATGAATGCACCAGCGCCATTGCAACCAATTCTGAGCCTGGAAGTAACATCCACCCTCATACCCATAAAAGCACACGAGATTAAATAAGTCAGAATCAAATTAGGTAATGTTGTGTTACAGTGTGATGAAAATGATCAATGCCTACTGAGAATGTTTATGATCATATACATTTAATTTTGTTTGTTGACAGGTTACTTCACACTATTTTATACGGATTATGTCTTAAGGTTATCAAAGTTCACTAATGACCTAATCTGCTAATGTTTAAGTGACTAAGACAGTTAGTACACTGTTATACTCATCAATTGATATGCTTCAAACTACTACGAGTTCATCTTAGTCGGTAAACGAGAACGAAGACAGATGATCCAGTGACATGATAGGCTACTTTAATCCGAGCGTCCTAAAGCCCCCACTCAGTAGGGAAGGAATTCTTGACAAGACGTAGATCGTGTATTCTACAAGCACCAAGAAAATATGAAGTTCACAAGTACACAAATCGAGTTTATTTCTTCATGGTAGAAACGTCCTTGAAAGATTCAGAAAATATCGTACTGAAATAACACATTAGTCAATAACAGTCAAGGATTTTCCGAGTGGGAAATGTCATCTCAAGGTCAACTGATCACAGCTCATGCGCGGAAGCATGAAATCCGAAATTATGACCTTTATCAATTGAGTTCTGCAGATCTAACATCCTCAACGCACACCTTGCACACAAATCATAATAATGCTATGCACATAGATAATTTTATTTTGTAATAGGTGAAAAAGTACGTTCATCATCATCATGATCATTATCATCATGTACTCTATTCTCATTAAAATATCACTTTGAAATAGCCAAAGAAACAAGAACTCAAATAGAATTGTGTGTGTGTATGATGAAATCATGACATTGTTACAAATTATATTTTATGATTTTAACTTTTTATAAAACTACTACTGATTTATAGTCAGTCCATTTATAGTCCATAGATGAATATGCATTTACACATTTGATTCAAATTTATTATAGTATTCATGATAATTATTACCGATTTGTATAGTGATATGCTAATTCATTTGTGTATAACAAAAAAATATCTACCCCTTTTTTTGTGTGTGATTGTTTGTTTGTTTTAAATGATACTTTGATACCATTGAACAACATCAAACATTTTAATTATTATTGAATGAGAGAACAAAGGTGAAACATTCTAATGATTAATTCTTTTTTACCCCTAATGAATATAACGTGACAGATTTGAAATGAGAACAAGTTCAATAGTAATTGAATTGGAATAAATGATAACACTGATGATGATTGTTTGTGGGGGGGGGAGACGTTAGATTCCCAGTACTCATTTGATAATTTGAATTTTATGCTTTTGCGCATGAGCTGTGATCAGTTGACCTTGAGGTAACATTGCTTCACTCGGCAAATTCGTGACTGTTATTGGTTGACGTGTTGTTTTAGTACGGTATCTTGTGGCTCTTCGAAGCACGTTTGTATCATGTATAAATAAACTCGATTTGTGTACTTGTGAACCTCATATTTTCTTGGTGCTTGTAGAATACATTCTCCACATCTTGTCATGACTTCCCCTTCTACTTAGTGGGGGCATTGTGACGGTCGGATTAGAATAGTCTATCGTGTCACTGGATCATTAGACATCGCTCTCGTTTACCGACCAAGGTGAACTCGTAATAGTTTCAGGCATATCAATTGACGAGCATAACAATAATCAGTGAGTCAGTTGGTCAGTTACAACGTAGAACTTCGTGCGTACGTACATCAGTGTTCATGTTGCCATACCACCATATTAGCACACAAACAGACCGAATCGTGTATTCAGATTTCATAGTAGTAAAGGCAGTAGAAGTATTAGTGGTAATTAAAAAGAATACGCGGTCGAAGACATCATTCAAGCAGTATATGCGGATGGAAAAGAAATGATGGTCTTGAAGGAATTCAGAAGTGTAGAATTTGAGACAACAAAGAATGGTTGCACCTGCGACATCGCAAACGATTTTGAGTCATATCATTCAATGTATCTAACCATCGTTTACTATCATCCCCAACCTGATAGTCTTCACCATGTTCACTGGTCAATGAATTCGTGGGTTTCTGCCATGTTTTGGATTGGCCGCCCCTAGCTTTCTTTCAACCTACTCTCACGTCGCAAAACATAGCTGGTCGAGGCGCTCGGTGGTTAGGCATACGAAACACATGTCCTAACCACCTCAACTGATGAAGTTTCTTTACTGCATCTTTTGATCTGCCACCCTTACTTAGTACCCGGTCCCTTACAACAGCATTGCTTACTCGATTGTCTCATGTTACTCGAGCGATGCTTCGAAGACAACTATGATCAAAAACCAGTAACCTATGAATATCTTCTACTCGAACTGGCCATGTTTCGCATCCATATAGTAGGACAGAGCGAACTACTGCGCAGTAGACTCGTCCTTTGGTTAGCAAACGGATATCTCGCCTACGCCATAAGTGACGCAGGTTGGCAAAAGTCAATCAAGCTTTCTGTATCTGTGCTGGGAGCAGGAAATAAAACATGTATATTTATACAAAATAGGTTGACTGTATCTCCATCATTATGTATCACTGAAAATGTTCAACAACTACTAATTGACCTTGATTTAGTTTAGACCGAACGGTGATTAACTTCATAGATCGATGTTATGTTTTTTGTTTCAATTTCCCCCTATTTGTATGATCAAGCTATCGGATAATAATTGATTGATTCTAGAGGCGACCAAAACTAAACATGACGAAAGTTCATGAAGTTATTTGACAATCGAACTGACCTATATTATTTGGGTGTAGACTACGACTACTACTACTACTACTACCTGGTTTGAGGTTGGCGTGACAGTTGTAACTGATATTCAGAGATTTTGAATGACATCGTTCAAAATCCGTTTGCATCGGCACACAGAGATATATATAATCATTCTTTGCTTTCTACCTTGAACTCTAAGCTTTAGAATATTTTATGACGGTGTTTTCATTTTTATGTATTTATTTCAGTTATTTAAACTTTTTCTCAACGCTTATTTTTGATCCGTAATCTTTTCGTTTATTACTAACACTGTTACTACTACCACTCTGGAATTATTTGCCTTGAGAATTCCATCCTTCTGTATTAGGCCAATATGATATGATATATATGTGTTCAGAATCGAATGCCGCTTTAATTTCGAGAAATACCACTATTGTGAGTCTTTGTTCAGACGCCCCACAATAGTAGTATTTGTCGATCTTAAAGCGGCATTGGACTCTGTTGATCATGAGGTTCTGTGGTAGTGTCTGTCATTGAAATGTATACCAAAGAGGTACATTAAGCTTATACAAGCTCTTTACTCGAACATCACTGGTGTGGTGAGATTCTATGGCGAACTGTCATCGGAATTGATTACTTCAAGTGGTGTTCGTCAGGGCTGTCTACTGTCTCCATTTCTGTTTAACTTTGTCGTGGATATGCTTTTAAAGTTAACATTATCTTTCGTCAGACCTTTCAGGAGTGAACCTTCTATAGTACCTTATGATGCATTCCGACTATTTTGATTTTTTTTTGCAAACACAGACACTTTCGTATCCTTGTTTGCTGGAAGGGGGCTTTTGTAGTGCCTCCACATTTATTTGCATCCGCTTACATTTAATTTGCTTAAGCCCTTTCGATTAATTTATTTAACCAAGCCATTCGCTTAGCAACAACCTGTATGTACCATTGGTATTTTTTATTATCTGGTTTGTATGAGCTTATACGACTGAGCATTGCTTACGCTTACGCACTTACTCATCCTTTTCGCTTTAATGTTATTCTCTTAATTTTCCCATGAACTCACATGATTTGTATCGCTTGTCATTTGACCTTGTCAATCATTCGTCGCTTTTATTCATGTGTGTGCATACCTATTTCGCTTGTCATATGTCTGTCTTATTTTTATCGGACTATATATTCTTAGTCATACTCTATCTCTTTGAATTGGCTCACTAGCCTTCTCCACGTCGCTTCTCTCATTCGCTTGCATTGTAATCCAAGGAGTTGGCTCACTAGCCTTCTCCTATTCGCTTTATTCATTCGCTCGCATTGTAATCCAAAGAGTTGGCGCACT